ATTATATTATAGTTAAACTAAACTTTTTGCGATGTTTAATCATTAAGCTGCTGAACATCCACCAGTTAAATGAGCCCAGAGGGTCAGCTTCTCTCCTATTGATCAGTAAACAGGAAGTAGAAGAACCTGTCCTGCTGACTGACCAATCAATTAAAATACATTTTTAAAAAATATTATTGTTGTTGTCATTGTTCTTGTTGTTGTTTTTAATAATACTGATGATAATAATAATGCTTTTTTAAAATTTTATATTAGTATCATTGTTATTATATTTGATTATTTATGGGCTCTGATGGCCTATACTGGGCCCAGCTGGTCTATACTGGTGTTAGATAGTCTATACTGGGGTTAGATGGTCTATACTGGGCCCAGTGGGCCTACACCTGGACAAGAGGATCTCATGACCTCAGTTTCCTCTCCGCGTTTCCTCTCAACCAGAATCGACTGCGCAGGAATCCTGAAGCTGCGAAACTCCGACATCGAGCTGAGGAAGGGCGAGACCGACATCGGGAGGAAGAACACGCGTGTGCGGATGGTTTTCAGAGTCCACATCAACCAGCCCAGCGGCAGAACCGTGTCCCTGCAGGCGGCCTCCAACCCCATCGAGTGCTGTGAGTCTGCAGCCCTCATCATTTTTGGGAAAATAATTTAGTGAAAAACAACAGATTCTGCAGGAAAAGAGCAGAAATTTAGTCTAAATTTGAAATATTCAGATTTTTTTACATTTTATTTCAGAATTTTGACTAATTCTCAAGTTAATTAGTGGGATTATTTCAGTTTCTTGTATAAAAGATGACGTCTTTCCACCAGTTTAGTGTAAAATCAGCTCCTATTTTCAGAGGATTCTTCATTCTAAGGATTCTTACACCTTAAGCCTCATTTTGTCCTCTCAGGTTTAACTGAGTCTGTTTTTGCTCTGAAATCAACCTGTTTCCAGCTCCTGAACACATGTTTCCACTTCTGTCTGTAATATCTGCTGGAACAGAGCTCATTCAGTGGAAATCGGAGCTGGTTCTGGAGGCAGAAAGTGTGAGTAGTTTTAGAGGCTCAGATGGTGATGTGTGATCACAGACAGGTTTCTGTCAGTTTAACCAGCAGAGCAGGAAGCATCCAGCTGCTTTTCAGACCCAAACAGGCGGAAAAACACAGTCAGGACTCTGTAGCTGCTGCAGAATCAGGTCACAGAAAGCTGATGACTAAAGAAGATAGAGAGCGGATCAAATCTAAAGAGTGATGTTACCTTTCTGATCCCATACACATAAAGGAGCAGACTCTCCCCTGATGAGGGTGACGATCATAAGATGAACCGGGCTGAATGGGGCTCATGTGACCGCCGGCTTCTTTCGATCTGACTGTTTCTCTGTGAAAAAGCTATTTAACGTCACTCAATAAGCCCCATTGACCGGCTGGGCCGGCCTTGGGCTGACCTTCCCTGGACCGGGCTGAACTGGGGCGGTTCTGCTCACGGGTCGAGTCCTGTGAGTTCAGCTGAGGACAGCAGTTGAACCCTGAGCTCAGCCACCTGAAACGGAGCCGGGAAGCTGCTTCTGAGCAGAATTCAGTCAGAAGGAGACGCACAATCGTTGTTATCCTCATGAGAAAAGCTTCAGGCTGGAAAAAGATCATCCCCCAGTGAGAAAAACTAGCTTTATTCTAAACAATTGGATTAAAAAAAGATCAGGAAAATACTCAAAATGAGGATTTTGCTTTGGAAAATAATTAGATATGATTTTTAAAATTATGTCATCCCCCTAAATAGAAAAAGGAAAAAAATAATTAGTAAATTACCAGTAAATGATCTTGAATTTTTATAAACTATCTAAAGAAAACGTTTTGTTTAGGTTTTATAAAATGATGAAAAAGTGTCAAATTATTTGGGATTATTTATTATTGAGTTATTTGGGAACAGTTTTAAGGCTGATAACTTGTTATTTTGAGGCAGTTCCTCATTCGTTTGACAGTAAATTACAACCTTTGAGTAATTCGGACATTAAGTTCCACTTTCTATTATTATTAATGTCCCAAACTATGAAATCGGCTCCATTAAATGAGTCCATCCAGCCAAACTGGGAATGAACTTGGCGCCTGTGGGAAGAAAAAACTCCCTTTTTACAGGAAGGGAGGGGCCTGATTAGGACCTTTTTTAAAGTGTTTCAACATTAACTTTGACATTTTGGGTCCTTATTTTCATGCATTTGCTCATTATTTCTGAGAGACAGCTTATTTTACAGAGATAACTCCTTTTCGGGCTCTAATTATGTAGTTGTAGTAGCTCATTATATCAATGAACTCATAATTAGGAGCATAACTCACTCAGTTTAGACAGTAAATCAATATTTATTTATAGATATATAAATCTCTAATTGGACTTGGATGATCTTCCATTCCCCGTCTGGTTAGTTTTAATGAGTTTCCATACTTTAGACATCACAGCCAATCACAGAGAAGCTCCAGACGGCTTTCAGAATACACACATGGCAAAGCGATCAGCATCACCCGGCTAAAAATAGAGACCTGTTTGTGTTTTATGGTGAGAGAAACGCTCTCAGAGGCCGAGAGCGAGTGAGCGAGCGGAGCTCCGCCATGTTTGAAGGGGAACACGCCGGCCTCCCGCCAGGGAAAGGCCTCCATCTGGGCATAAGCAGTGGAGCTGGCTCAGCCTGGATGCCCAGGTCTGCCTGGGGATCGGGTGTGTGTGGGCTGTGGCTGAGCATGGCTCCCCCTCTCCCCCCCCACAGCCCAACGATCAGCCCAGGAGCTTCCTCTGGTGGACTCGCAGAGCCTGGAGACGAGCCCCCCCTCCGGAGGGGGGCGCATGCTGCTGGACGGACACAACTTCCAGCACGACTCCAAGGTGCTGTTTGTGGAGAAGGCTCCAGGTACAGTGTGTGTCTGTGTGTGTGTGTGTGTGTGTGTGTGTGTCTCCCGTCGCTGGAGAAGCCCCAGGACTCCCCCCCCCCCCCCCTCCTGCCACATGTGGTGCACATTAATAAGCCGTATTTTTAACCCAGTTGATTTACATTCGCAGAAGTTTCCATTCGCTGTTCAGCCGAGGAGCGGATCACAAACACTGTGTGTGTGTGTGTTAGTCTGTGTGTGTGTGTGTTTGTCTGTGTGTTAGTCTGTGTGTGTGTTTGTCTGTGTGTGTTATTCTGTGTGTGTTGGTCTGTGTTAGTCTGTGTATGTTTGTTAGTCTGTGTGTTAGTCTGTGTGTGTGTTAGTCTGTCAGTGTTATTCTGTGTGTGTTGGTCTGTGTTAGTCTGTGTATCTGTGTTAGTCTGTTTGTGTGTGTAAGTTTGTGTGTGTGTGTCTGCCTGTCAGTTTGTGTTGGTCTCTCTTGCTGGAAGCTGCTTTGCTTTGGAGGCAGCTGCTCCCAGATGTTGACTCGAGGTTTACAAACAGCAATTTCCTTGATTAGCTTTAGCGGAGTGGCGTGCACGGTGGCGTGCACGGTGGCGTGCACGGCGGCGCCGCAAAAACAGTCGGCTGACTCACTCAGAGGAGAGGGAAGCCTTTCTATTGTTCCCTCTGTGGAGGCAGGAATCCCCGGCAGCCTCCGACTGTTTATCAGCAGGACAGGCTGACCTTTGACCCCTGTGTTTGGGCGCGGCGGCAGGGCCGTTAATAACAGAGTCAGTGGTTGAAATAAATCCGACGCAGAACCACATTTTGGACCTGGACATCTGGCAGCAGTTAAGATTTAGTCTGAGTGAAAGTGGAAAATGCTGCCTGTGCTGGACGGAACTGAAGCAAGTAATGTCCTCAAATAAGAAGCTGGTACAAATTTAGATACTGCAAAACAACAACATTTAGAAAGCTGAAACTATGGTTAAAGCAGGAATTTCAAACTCGGGTCATCTTTGGGAAGCTGCCCTGCAGGTTTTAGATGTTTCCCTGCTTTGTGTTTGACTCTAGTTTGGATCAGAGGCTCATATGTTGATGTGTTTTTCTATTTTTTTTATATATTTGGGAGTCTCTGTAACTACTCATTCAACAACTGCTAGCACATGCTTATTCTTTTGAACACAGACTAGTCACATATAAATCAATTATGTTTTTGCAGCATTTCAAGAACCTGAGGCAAGGCCTCGTAGGGTTTTATAGAAACTTTGAGTGTCCTCTGTATCAAGTTTGTGCTAGCGTCTCCTGTAGTATGGGTTAGCGTCTCCTGTTGTTCGGTTAGCATCTCCTGTAGCTTGTGCTAGCGTCTCCTGTAGCTTTTGCTAACGTCTCCTGTAGCTTGTGCTAGCTTCTTATTGGCCCTTTATAGCTCTCGTTGGTTCTTGAAGTGTCTGTTGGTGACCCCCCACACCCCCCCACCTGGATATAAGCTGTATAGAAAACTAAAGCTAATGCTTATTTGATTGTTAATGTTTAATCTTAGCCCAGCTCGTGTAAGTGACTTTTTGTTTAACCACTGGAGCAGATTCAGACCGGCTAAACTTGCTATCTCAGCTCAGATCCGGGCAACTAGCTATAGTGTTTTGTGGTGACAGAGGGAGAAGCTAAAACAAAGCCTCTGATTGGGCGGCTAGCTGCTGTGGTTCTGCTCCAGGCCTGAATCCGGCCGTCTTTAGGGCCGTGCGCCGCTCTGGACGGGTGCTAATGGGTGTGCTCCCTTGTTTTTGATGAGGGTTTCCCAACGTCTGGCACCAGCTCTAGATTCCTGGGCAATCCTACCATGGAACACCCGCAAGCCAGGCTTCCACACCCCCCCCCCACCCCACCCCCCTTTCCTCCATCCCTCCACCTCCATGCGAGCTGCCTGTGTGCCACCGGCTCTCAGCTCATTAACTCTGGGTTCCCTGTGGATCAGACTGGGTCCTCTTCACAGCTGCTCTCCCTGTAAACAGACAGGAAAACAGATCCATTTGGGACACCAGTGCTCCCTGGAGTCAAGTCGTTCTTTTAATAATAATAAGAATAATATGCAATGAGATCAGGCACTGGAGAAAAGGGAAACCTTTTAGAATCCAAAATAACTGCTGCACTTTGTTATCCTGAAGCAGGTTCAGGCCTCCCACAGGATACAAATGAAAACAGTTCCATCTTGAATTAGGTCAAAGTTCATTCATTTGTGTTTTTTTTTTATTTTTAGGTTTTATTATTTTTAGGTTTAGGTTTTTAGGTTGGAGGTAAGACAGTCGTTTCTCTCAGACTCTAAATTCAGAGCCAAACAGTCTAAGGTTTCCTAGTTCAAATCCTGGCTGTTTTTCCACACCTGACGGCTGCACACATCGTTTTGATCCAGAAGCTGACAAAGCCGAGGATCTGCCTTCTTTTTGGACAGTTTGCACAGAAAACATTCCCCCCAACCAGGACGTCCTGCTGGTTGGGGAGAATGTAGGCAGCGACAAGGATGTCAGGACCTCCAACCATCAAAACCAGAACCAACTATTGGTGGGTTCATGCACAGAGTGTGAGGGAGGTAGCCCATTAAGAGTTAGCCTTTGTGAGTTAGCCTTTGTGAGTTAGCCTTTGTGAGTTAGCCTTTGTGACTTAGCCTTCGTAAGTTAGCCTTTGCGAGTTAGCCTTTGTTTGGACGGAAGGGGGTGGGCCCCAAACAGCCAGAAAAACCCTCTAGTTTCTTTTTTTTTAGAGCCGCTTTGGTCACAAATCTGCTTCCACTTGTGTGAACCAAAGGGTTTGTTGCAGCCACATTCCAGCGCCGCTGTATTTTCATGTTCCTGTTTTCAGGTTTTAGTTGCTATTCATGACTCACGCCGAAGGAAATCCCTGTTTCCTATAGAGACGCGCGTGCTCATATCTTTTCGATCTGCCTCCCGTTTCCTGCCTCAGAATCAGCCCGTGTTGCTTTTCTGCTCGTAGCTCCGCCCGCTCAGACGACGCCGGGCCTGATAACAAGCACCCGGCCCATCTGGCAAATTCGCTCATTGTCAGTTTTTCTGGATTAACAGTCAGTGATTTAATATTTTTTCTAATACTCTCGAAGATAAACATGGTTACCAATAATATGACATCAGCAAAACAGAGTCGCATGTCTGAGCATCTAAAAGGGGAAACGGAGGCAGATCAGCCCTTGTGACTCACAGAGGTTAAACCCAGTTCCTCTAGCTCCACAAGTGTCCACTTTCTCTGGGGATTGTTTGCAGGAGTCGTCCATTTACAGCTTTAGTGACCGTTTGGTTGGATAAGTGATCACTTCCACTTCATCCTAGAGCGGGAGCAAAACAATGTGACTCATTGTGAGCTAATTAAAGGTTAAATAAAGAATCACACAGGCACCACAACTTCCAGCGAGACCACAGTTCAAATGACTTCACATGTATCTATGACAAGTTATGCCATGTTTTTTAACAACTTCAGACCCTTTTCTGAGCTCTCTTTGAGCTGTTTGAGGCAGACTTTGGTATAAAAGCCTGTTGGTTTAAGCACAGTGGCTCTCTGTCTCAGCCCTGTTTGAACACCTCTTTGCTAACAGGCGGTTTTTAGGGTGGAGGCTCAGAAATAGCGCTCGGCCCCACCCTTTAGGAGAGGTCAGCAGCTCCACAATGAAGCTTGTCCTCCAGTCCAAAACCCTCCCACTATGTAGACAGATACAGATAGTCCCTGTATAGATCCCAGAGGGCTTAGCAGCTAGCCATGAACTAGCCGCAGATCCCAGCTAAGAAAGCTAATGAGTCAAGCTGGAGATGTACACCACAAAAGTCAGTAATGTGCATTGTTAATTATTGCCTATAAACATGAATATACTTTATTGATCTCCAGGGAGAAATTGACTAAACATTTAAAACGTATTAACCTCATTAAACAGTTGTACTCTTAAACATCCATCTTCATGTTTATTTTGGTTTGATTTTAAATCATCTGAAAACGTGAAAGGGAAAGCATTATGGAATGTTTATAGTCACCGGTTGCTATGGGGATTCCCTCCCTTTGAAGGGGGCAGCCATTATGGAATCTTTAAACTCACAGGTTGATAGGGGGATTCCCTCCTTTCGAGGGGGGCAGCCATGATGGAATGTTTAAACTCACAGGTTGCTAAGGGGATTCCCTCCTTTTGAAAGGGGCAGCCATGATGGAATCTTTAAACTCACAGGTTGCTATAGGGATTCCCTCCTTTTGAATGGGGAATCCATTATGGAATGTTTATACTTACCGGTTGATATGGGGATTCCCTCCTTTTAAAGGAGGCAGCCATAATGGAATGTTTGTCCCCCTATTTGTTGGTCTGTTCAGTGTTTTAAACAACATGTCTTGCATTTAATGATTGATTTTCCATAACTGTGTTATGCCAAATGGAAATCTTGAGAAATTAGTAGTAGAATTACTGAAAATATGCAATACTTGGCACAAAGTTTATTAAAAGTAAGAAAGAGACCCTAACCCTAGCCTAAGTCAGGCTTTTCTGGCCATGGAGGGAAAGCTTCAGTTAACTTCTTTCTAGTTTTTTTGACACCGAATGGTGCTGCAGGATCTAAAGGATCTAGAAGTTTCCCGGAGAGACATTTGAAACTATTTCCACTACCTATGATTTCATCTGCTGTCTTCCACTGAAATATAAACCAGTCTTTCTTTGGTTGGGCTTGTGCCTCCCTTCCAGCGATTCCCTGTCTTTTAAGCCTCAGTCCCTGTTTTAAGTGGACCATCATGGTTGATAGGGGCTCGGTTCCAGACAGAGATCCCAGAGGAAATCCTCACAGAGGAAAAACCTCGGCTGAAATTGGCACTTTCGCATCTGGCCTGCTGCTCAGGACGTCTGGCTGAACTGCCCCGACGGAGCTGTGTTTTGGTTTTAGATAGATAGATAGATAGATAGATAGATAGATAGATAGATAGATAGATTTACTTTTTTCATCCCTGAAATTAGCTGATTAGCTGGAGCTCCAGCTCTCAGGACGGGCAGCAAAGGAAGTGCAGGGATCAGAGTTGGGCGTGTCCATGGAGGAATCACCTGTCTCTGAACCCGTGAAGCTGTTTGATGGTGAAGTGGAGCGCCAGGGCGAACGAGGCTGTTTTTAACACGGACGCGCCCGCTCAGCTCTGCTAGCTGCGGTTTAGTTTGGAAGGAGCTTTGCTTTCCTTTGGTGGTGCACATGCTCAGCAGCTCTCGGGTTTCACTGCATTCGCAGAACAATGACTTCCACTCGAAGGCGCTCGGCGGTCTGGCTGCCGGACGCCGCTCAGAACAATGGCTGTTTTCACAAACAAAGCCACAGCAGCCTTTCCATGGGTTACAGTGTGCCAGTGGGCCTTCAGCAGCCCCTCAGAGGAGCCCCACAGACGGGGCTTTCTGCAGCGGCGGGCGCCGCCCAGGCCGCATGGCGTGCACGCCAGCGCCCCCTTCCCGCCCGCCGCCGCTCGTGAAACTGCTCAGATCGCCGCGCTCTTCCAGGACGGGAGGACGCCGCCGGCGTGGGCGCCAGCACAAGGCAGCCCTTTGAGAGGCCAGCATGTGTTTATATTTACTGTGAGCCATGAGGGCTGGGCGCACGCCATCCCGCCGCTGCACCCAGGCCGCACCCCGCCCGCGTCCAATTAGGGAGCACAAGGAGCCGTTTTATTCCATTTCTAAACACAACCTGACAAATAACTGAAGTGTATATTGTTTGACCCCCCCCCCCCCCACCGCCTGCCAGGGCTCTCCCCAGCACGCCGCCGCCGCCGTGTCATCCACGGCTCTGTGTTATGTCTGTCCTCAGAAGGTAATGATTTGTGTAGACCAGAGCTGAGGAAATAGGAGCTGTGCGACTGGGGGGGGGGCTGGGCGGCTGCCAGGGCGGGGCTCTGGGGGCGGCGTTGGGGGGGCTAGTGGCTTCAGGAGCCCGGCTGGTTTCAGGGAGCTGGTTTCAGCTTTTGGACGCCGTCCAGGAGGCCGCGTTCAATTCAGTTTACTTTTATTTATACAGCACCAAATCCCCAAAACAGTTATCTGACAGCACTTTCCAAACAGAGCAGGTCAGACCGACTCCGAGTTATTTACAGGAGCCCAACAGCTCCCCCCAAGAGCAGCACCAGGAGACACAGGGAGGGAAAAACTGCCTTTAGGAAGAAACCTAGAAAGAGAGAGATCGGGGGTGAGAGAGGTGGGGGGGAAAGATAGGGGGAGAGAGGGAGAGAGGAGACAGAGAGAAGGACAGAGAGAGGGAGAGAGAGAGAGAGAGAGAGAAAGACACAAAGAGAGAGAGGGGTAGAGAGAGAGAGAGGGGGAGAGACAGAGAGAGAAGGAGAGGGAGATGAGAAGGACAGAGAGAGGGAGAGAGAGAGAGAGAAGGAGAGAGCAAGAGGGCCAGACAGAGAGAGAAGGATAGAGAAAGCGAGAGAGAGAGAGAGAGAAGGACAGAGAGAGAGAGGGAGCAGCCTCCACAGTAACACAGTAAAGCTGGTTTTTCTACAGGCTGGATGAAAAATGGTGGATATTGATAGTAACATTAATGATAACAGTAATAACAGGAGCTGTAGCAGAGTAGGAACTCGGGGGAACATGAACTCGCGGCAAATCGGGGAGCTGGAGAGCCTCTGGCTGGACGGGGGGGTGCTGAGCAGATGTTTCTCTATAACTCTGGAACATTCTGTGGTTATCAATTATGTGGTCCGCGCTGCAAACAAAGGCATCCCACACATCCAGTCCAGCCCTTCCAAAACGCTCTCCAGAAATTTCCTGGCAAAAAAAGGTGGCCGAAAAAAAAGCGCCTCCCCGGTTTCACTTTTCTGCCGGCACAGCGAAGTGAGGAACGATGTGCGAGTGAGTCAGAGGAGAAGCAGGAAATCTGAAAAACACGTTGACCTCCGGTGGGTTCAGATCCAACATGGAGGCTTCCCTTCTGGAGGCCGTCCCACCTGGAGGAGACCGGCTAAAGTCCCAAGGGGTCAGAAACTGAATGAAATCATGAACACACACGTAAAAGATCCAAAACTATGTACTAAGAGGACCAAAAAAAGGGCAAAGGGCCACTAAAGGAGCTCAGAAGGCAAAAAACAGGGCTGAAAAAGCCCAAAATTGAGCTAAAAAGACCAAAAACAGAGGTGGGTCGGAGTGGGTCAGAACATCATTTTCTGCAGGCTTTTGGCTCCTCTCTGCCTGAAAACTGTACCAAAACCTTTATTTTCCCGACATGATTGGCTGTTTCTTCTTGAATTAAGTTCCCTTCTCGTATGAGCTGACATGGCTCTTTGTGCCCGTTGGGAGCTCTAATGAGTCCGTTTTCTGTCCGATAAACTGGTCAGACATCCAGCCTCCCCTGGTCTCCCCCCACATCCCCCATCCGTGTAATCCAGCCTCCCCCA